GGCCATTCCACTTCTTGTTTCAGAAATCCAATTAGCAGAAGAGATGGCTAATCTTGTTTCTTTGTGACAATTAAGAACAAGTCAAGGCTCAGAAGGAAACTTCTTATATTATGGAACAGCACAGAAGACAGGATTCTTCCTTCAACTGGTTAGATAAGAAATGAAGACTATGGGTAGCGGGGCAGAGATGTTTCCCTATACAACCTTACCATATGGATTGATTTAGTAAAATTAGGAGTGATGCTGTTTGTCCTAACTCTGGTCATTTTGATTCTCTGTGAAGGAATACAACAGTTAAGGAGTGAAGGTCACCAATTCAGAGCCCTTCCACGTGTATTTCTTTCTTTTCTTACAACTTGTAGAAAAACAGAATCACTTGTGACAAAGTACACAAATGGTTATTTGTAGAATTCGAGAGCTGACAAACTCTACAAATCATTTAGTGTAATTTACTCAATGTAATGTTTCCCATTTCCAGAATTTGAAACCAGTACAGAACATTAGTATTTCAAATACGGCAGAAAGATGAGAATTATGCTTGATGAAAATGAAGAGAATGTTTATGGAAAATTTACAGAATGGGTTGGTCTATTTCTGACAACTATAAAGATTGCTTACAGAAGGAAACTGAAAATAAAATGGCCTATCCTTGCCAGCTTTTTTTGGGAAGTATAGTAGTATAGTGACTATTGCCCTAAAAGGAAAGTGGAGATTTAGCTTCCATTCCTGGTTCTGCATTGATTTACTAGATCCTTATAGGCCAGCTCACCAACTTCTGTATTTATTTTGTTTGTTTCTCAACAGGATAAAATTATTACTTTTATTATCATGACTTAACAGAAACATTCAGATAATTAGTAAGGAGAATTAGTATTTTCAAGAGCTTGGAACTCATTATAGTTCTATTTTGGCAAATAAAGTAGTTAAATGAATAAGTTAAGCCTCTCAGTACCACACCTTTCTTTAAAAAAAATCACTAGCAGGTGCGAGGAGTTAGATTTTTTTTTCATTTTCTTTATTCTTTAAAAAAATCAAGCTGGCAGGAGAGATAGCTAATCTTGTTTCACATAAAAATGAAGAACAAGTCAGGGCTTACTTTCCATTCCACTTTATTCTTGTAGACATATCTAAATATAGTAAACTGAAAATTATTGTAAGATTTTCCCATGGATATTTACATTGTTTTTCCTTTTCAGGAAAACTTCATACTCCAGCTATCCATTTCTAGCCAGGGTACATTGTAGTTAAACTTATAAAATAAAGAGCTAAACATTTTAAGCTAAAATTTTAGAATTTCTACAAAGTGTTATAGCTGTAGGCAATCAAACGGAGAGGTAGGTTTTATTAAATGTCTTCTAGACTCAGGATAGCAAGGCTATACAGTATGTACTAAAGCAGTATTAGAGAAAAACATATTGATGTATTTTAGTGCTAATTGACGTAAAGGGTCATTGGTCAACTTTGTGCAGTATATTTGATTTCTAAACAGAACATGACCCGTGATGATGGTGTTTCACCGATTTTATTTATGACTGCAATTGGAAAATGCTTAATCTGCAGATTGTAATTTAATACATCTGTGGTTGAAATAAAGTTTATTTGTAATAGAAATCTTTCAAATATATTTTTGTAGGATTTATGGAAGTAGAATGTTCAGTGCTCCCTCTCCTGGTTTTATCTTAATGGTGAACTGACTTCTCATCCCCAAATTGGGGAAATAGCTGAGAAGACAATTTTGAAGAACGAAACAAGATACTCTGATGTGGTATTTTTTTTCTAAGTTGTCTATTCCAAATCTATTCATAATGGTCAAGAAAACTATCTATCTGTGCCTAAGTTCAGGTATAATGAGATCTAGGAAAAAATGGAATATATATGTATACAAACACACACACACACATATACAGTAATATTGATTTTATCATTTTAAATAGCTTTTTAAAATACAGTTTATAATATTAAGAGTGAATATGTAACTTCTTGGCTTCATTCTTGTTTTATGTTATTTTCTAGTGGTGCTTTCTTCTTTTTGATGGTTTTAGCAATGGCCTAGGTTTCATAGAGGGAAAATTCCAACCACAACTTTAATTTTTTAAAATGCTCGAACATTTCAAAATCTAGTTTAGAAAAAAAGTTTCAACAGGGTCACTTGTAATTATAAAGAAGAAGAGTTAAAAAATTACTTTGAACTGAAAATTTCCATACTCAAATTTATATTTGATTTAGATTTTGGAGTTTTGTTTTGTTTGCTTTATTTTGTCAAAAAAACTTCAAGATACTTCTGATAAGTAGCACCTGGGAAAAATATTCCTTTGAATTTATATATGTTTTTGGTTTTTATTTATCTCTTAAGAGTCTCTGTGGAACTTTAAATTTCACATAGAGCTATCCTCACTGCAGCATGAAGTACACAATTGTGGTAATAAATGCCTAATATTCTGCAGTTTGTAAGGAAGCAAAAAGCAGGTTTCCTGCCTGTTAAAATGCTCTTTTTTTTCAGTGACACATGATGTGTCATTAAGAATGATAAAACTTCTTCGTAAATTATTTGTTTTAATTGTAATTTAGTTGATTAAAAAGATATATTGGTTTTCCTTTGCAAAGTTATCCAAATTACATTACAAAGTTTAAGGGTTTTTAAAATATGATTGATTTTTGTGAAATTGTATCACAAACCAAGATAAAAAATTGCTATAAATCTACAGCAGGAAATTTCACCTTTATAACCTTTATAAAGGTTATATATATATTTGTAGGAAGGAGAGCCACCTTAGACCTTTCAGATTTCACATAAATACTCTGAACTCTGCTCTAATGTTTTATTATCATCTTTTTTATAGCAATATACATTTCCTTTTTAGCTGATCATAAGTGATGGCTTGGCAAGCAACTTTTAAGTCTTTTATTCTTCAAAGTTATTTTCGAATTCAACTTTAAGGGGAGACAACCACCAATTCTGCTGAGACAGATAACTAAACCGTTGATAACTAAATTTAAAGGTATTCTTTTATAACAAACTGCATTTGCAGGATTTTAGAGGCAATCTCAAATTTTTAGAGGATGTTAATTACAACAGTGTGCAGGGCAGCATTTCCAAGTTGGTACACAGCAACGAAAGAGGAAAGGACGGTTGGAGAAATCCTGTTCCAGGTTTTCAGGCAGCCTGTGTGATTGACACATGATATCACTGGAGGCGTGTCCTGGAGTGGAGGTGGAGGTGGAGGCGAGTTGCTGAAATTCTGCGGCGCGGGAGAGGAACTGCTCTGTTAGGCACGCAGTGGTTTGCAGAGTGTTAGCAGCCGATAGAGCTTTCTGCCCTGGATAAGGAGCAGCTGCAGTCGCTGTAAATGTGCCTGAAAAGCAATTTCCAATCTTTGCGTTAGGTAAGAACCGTTTCCTTCCTTTCCTTCCGTAGATGTTTTAGGAAAGATTAGGTGAGAAATGTTGGCTTCTGCAAGGAAATGGTTATTTCTTTGAGCTCGCTTTAGATCTAAGACTACTGGTTGCGTTTCAAATAACCAGCAGCATTCCCACTGCTAAAACGAGCACTCAAAGTAAATGCTGCCGCTGAAAGAAGCAGCAAGATCCTTTTCAAGTTTTTCCTTATCCGAAAAGTAACAAGTTTAAAGCCTGAAACGGTCGGATGTGTGATAAACAGGGTGGCTTATGCCGAAGAAGGGCTGGTAGTCGGTGTATGGACCAATGCTTGTTTGTTTAGGCATTGTTGGCGACCGAATCCCGAGCGAAGCAATTGTTAAAAACCTGAATTTCCCGTCTGTGTGTATTTTTAGTGCGCAGAGGCATTGCTTGAACGTTGTTTGAACTCCTAGGCATTCCAAGGGGCAAAAGCACTTTGGAAAAACGTGCAAGACTGCATGTTACTTTGGTTCACTGCTGACACGCCGACTGTGCGCCGGCCTGTCAATCACCGGGAGCCGCAACAGCCAGCACATGGCAGCGGGTGGCGGGCGTGCTGGCCAGCGGCCCGCTCCGCTCCACTCTCCGCCCGGCGGCTGAGCGCGCTAAGCGTCCGAGTGCCTGGAAAGAAAGGCAAATTAATGTGTGTTTTCTCTCTAATTGTCTGTAGCAGGCATTTCGGCGGAGCAGGAGGGTCAGAGAACTGGGAGTGAGCGCTGCCCGGGAGAGAGGCTGACCTGCCAGGACCGGAGTTCCGGGGACGCCGTGCCCCCTCTTGCCCAGCGTGCGGGATCGGGAAGGGGTTTCGACCTGCGCGGGGGTCAAGGGACGACGCCCCGTCTCTTCCCATGAGAAGGACCCCCAAACCTCGCTTCCTATACCATCACCCTTAAAAAAGCGGGTTAAAAAACCCACCCCCACCCCCCCAGAAGCTGCGGCCTCCGCCTCGCTGGCGTGTGCTCCCGGCCCCGCCGCGGCCTGCCCCGCTCCTTGACCGGCCCGTAGACACCGGTTCGAGCCCCTTCCCGGGCGCCGAGGAGTCTCGAACGTCCGTGACGTGGATTTTAACTCGTCGGGAGGCCGCTTCTGCTAACCTTCCGGCGAGGAGCGATCGGAACCCAAGTACTCTCGTCGGAGCACGGGCTGCTAGTCCGCTGGCCTTTCACGCGCCGCACCCCACCCCACCCCCCACCCCCGCCGCTCCCGGCTCGCTTTCAGAGACTCCCGGAGAGCCCTCCCGAAAGGATTTATTCTTTCTGGTTCTCGGAAGGGGGCCGCCGGAGAAAAGCCCCAGAGGCGGATGTTACTGAGCGGCGCGGCGAGCGCGAGCCGTGAGAGGTGTGCTCCCGGCCGCGCGCAGTCCCCGGGGGACTGTCCGCCGCAGCCGGAAGGGGGCCGCGGGGAGCGCTCCTGCGCGGCAGCGGCGGCTGAGGCCGCGGGCCGGCTCGCCGCTGGTCGGGCCATGTCTCCACGCCCTGCCCGCCGCGGTTGATGCGGCGCGCGCACGCTGCTGCCGCACCGGGACCCGGGCCGGGCCGCACGCCGGGACTCCACGCCGCCGGCTCAGCCTAGGTGAGTGTCGGGCGGCCGGTCTGGGCGCGCGGGCGGGGCTCGCTCGGCGCAGCAGGTGTGGGAGGCGGGGGCGCCCCGCGTGCGGCGCCGCCCCCGGGCCGGGCACTCGGGGCTGGGGAACCGGGGGCACGACCTTCCGCCGCTGCGGAGGACGTTGGGACAGTGTCTCCCACCCCCGTTTTCCTGGAGCGGGGGCGCTGTGGCCCGGGCCGCCCTCTCGGAGGACCCCTCTTCGCGAAAGATGGGTTCGAGGAAGCTTTGGGGTGTCCCCGGAGGGTCCCGAGGAGCTTCTTGACTCGTGCCAACCGCAGGCTTTCCGCGGAGGAGTTTCACACGCAGGACGGCGAAGGCCGTGTGAGCGCGTGTGCAGGCAGGCAGACCCCGGGGATCGCCAGTGAGGCCCCCGGCAGCGTCAGGCTGCTGCGCGGCGAGCTTCAGCCTCGCGCTCGCGCGGACTCTAGCGGACCGGCGCGGGGAGGGCAGGGGAGAGGGCGCTGCCACTTTAAAAATGGGAAGTCCGCCCTCCTGAGGTAATGTAACCTCAGCCTCCTCCCCTCCGCCTGCCCGGGAGAGAGAGAGAGAGAGAGAGAACTTGTTTTCATTCATAACTTTTTCCTTTTCCTTCCTCTCCGTCAACTATTTATTCACCGCTCCTCTCGGCTCGGATTGCAGAGGGCGCAGCTCCACCGTCTTAACTGGCAATGGGGCGACGCTCCTCTGCAGCCCCTGCCCCCGGCTCCGTGCTTCCCGGCGCCTTAGGAACCCAGCTCTCCCTTTAACGTAGGGGCAGACCTTTATAACCACTCCTGCCGGGCGCTTGCTTTTGGCGCCTCTGTCAGCTCTGAAGGCTCTTCCCGATCTGTAAGAAATCGTGGTGGGATACGCAAAAATGTTTTGGAAATCCACGGTGATCCTTAGGATGTGATGAGATTGTCCGAAAAGGTATTCAACTTCGATTCGTGTTTCCTTGGGGGGAAACAGTTTGCCGTGGGCGTGTGAGCGTATTTGGATGTAGATCGAGGACTGTCAGAGCTTGAAAAGGGGCTTTGCTTTCAAATCAGAGGTGGCTAATTTTGTATTTATCTGGTAATCTAATTTACCCGACAGCATGAATTTTGTCAGGACTATCATAAATGCAGATTAAAGTTGTGCCTGGTGTTTTTACTGCACTTTTCAAATCCTTCTGTTTTTTCTTCCCTGTGGAATCTGAGTTAGTTTTAGATACTCAAAGCACTGGATTAAAAACTTCTTTGCGAGGAATGATATTGTGCAGAGTAACGATGGAGTATTTTTAACAATCTTTAAGGATTCGAGGACTAACACCAGCAGGTTATGACTGTACTTCTCAGGTGCAGAAAAATAGAACCTTGGGAGATCTAAGTTGGATGAGGAAGGGGGACTCCAAAAAGTTAAGACATAATATGTGAACATTCAATTCAGTGAATAGATGAAATGGACTTCTTTTTGCTTTATTCCTTTAACTAGTTTTTTGGTTCAAGGTGGGAGTGGAGAATGGGCATTTTTTTCTTTTCATTCTTGAATTGGTTTGAATATGTAGACTTTGGAGGGAATTTGTATGAAAAATATTTTAGTTTACCACTGACAGAAAACAGAAACGTTTTTGTTTGGTAGTTTGTGAAGAATACATTATAAATTAGAAATAATTTAGTATTGGTATGGAAACATAAATGCTATCTTTATCGGAATATTACCGTACTTATATTATTACAAAAAGTACATTGATGCAGAGTTGACAGTGCTTCTGAAAATCGCAATCTGTCATGCACATACAAATTTTTAAGTTAAAGGAAATACAGGTAATTAAAATGGCCAGGATTTCCCTGTGCTGCTTTAAAGGCCTAACACTTGCTCATGAAAGTTATCTCATTATAGGAGTGAGCCCTTATTTAAACCTTTAAAAAAGTCATCCTTTCACTATTTCAAATGTGAATACTCTTTTTAACATTCACAAAACTATATATTGAGTTTTGGGTATGTGCCGTAGTGGCTCTAAAACACCAAAAACTGTTGTTGTATGTGTCTATGTATTAATTTTTGCATCTTGTAGGTAAATAATGTGCTAGGTTTAAAATCTTGGTTTCCACTGAAAATGACCTCTTCCATTTTAGTTTGAAATCCCTTCAACGTTTTTTTTTTAACACGTGAAGTATATACCTTGACTAATTTCCTCATCATTAATCTAATTCTTATAACAGCAAACAACAAAAAGGCAATAGCACCAAAGCCATTCATTTTTTAAAAGGGTCTTTTTTCCTTTCTGGAAAACACCTATGAATTGATACTGAGCTTTCTTTAGATAAGAGCTATTGCAGTATTTACACTCAGTATATCTTTTAAGGGCATACTCCTTTCTAATTATTTCTTAGATTCACAAACAGAAAGGCATCACTCTTTTTGATTCTGCTTTTTAAAAGTTGAAAGAACTTGTTTTTATGGTATGGGGTCTCTTGCTTACATTCTTCTTCTATGATGTGGTCCTCAGCCTTTCTTGGAATTGGACTTTGGCCAGGACCCCAGCATCACTCTAATCTGCTGATGAAGGAGATCATTACCAGGTGATTTAGGCAATTTGTGATTTGACAGGATCCCCCCATCCCCGGCAAAAAGCTTCCTGTCGTTTATTTTATCTGTGTGTGTGTTTTTTTTCATCTTTGATTTCCTTTTTAGGATTTCAGATGAATGCCAGGTTTCCACTGATTGCCAGAATTCGAGATCACTCCACATGGATCCCCAAAATCAACATGGCAGTGGCAGTTCATTAGTTGTGATCCAGCAGCCTGCAGATAGCCGTCAGAGGTTGGACTATGAGAGAGAGATTCAGCCTGCTGCTATTTTGTCCTTAGACCAGATCAAGGCCATCAGAGGTAGCAATGAATATACAGAAGGACCGTCAGTGGTGAAAAGACCTGCTCCTCGAACAGCACCAAGACAAGAAAAGCATGAAAGAACTCATGAAATCATACCAATTAATGTGAATAACAACTATGAGCATAGACCTACAAGCCACCTGGGACATGCAGGACTCCCAAATAATGCCAGAGGCCCCATTTTGAGCAGATCAACCAGCACGGGCAGTGCAGCCAGTTCTGGGAGCAATAGCAGTGCCTCTTCTGAGCAGGGACTCTTAGGAAGGTCCCCAGCAGCCAGGCCGGGCCCTGGTCATAGATCTGAAAGGGCAGTCCGGACCCAGCCCAAACAACTGATCGGAGATGATTTGAAGGGTTCCTTGAAAGAGGACCGGACACAGCATAAGTTCATTTGTGAACAGTGTGGGAAGTGCAAGTGCGGAGAATGCACAGCTCCCAGGACCCTGCCATCTTGTCTGGCCTGTAACCGTCAGTGCCTTTGCTCTGCTGAGAGCATGGTGGAGTATGGAACCTGCATGTGCTTAGTGAAGGGCATCTTCTACCACTGCTCCAATGACGATGAAGGGGATTCCTACTCGGATAATCCTTGCTCTTGTTCACAGTCACACTGCTGCTCTAGGTACCTGTGTATGGGAGCCATGTCTCTGTTTTTACCTTGCTTGCTCTGCTATCCTCCTGCTAAGGGATGCCTGAAGCTGTGCAAGGGGTGTTATGACTGGATCCATCGCCCAGGGTGCAGATGTAAGAACTCCAACACTGTCTATTGTAAGCTGGAGAGCTGCCCCTCCCGGGGCCAGGGTAAACCATCATGATTTTTGGAGGTGGGTTGGACCTCCTGAACTTCTAGCTTTCAAGCTGTGGCTGTTAAAAAAGGTCCTATTGGTTACTTGTTTTATTTTCTTTACAGTTTTTCCTGACTTTCTTCCCCAGTTTCCAAGGTTTGACTCACGGATTTTATACTCTTTAAATGGATGATCTCCAGTGAGAGTGGACCATGAAACTGAGCTGGCTCTCACTTGTGACAGGAGCTTTTGCCACCCACTCGAGAGGGTTTTGAAAGCCAGTGGGCTTCTGTATAGCCTTTGTGTTCTGCAGGCAACTTTTCAAAGTTGTACACATGAACATACCCAGACACACACACCCAGACTACAGTGATTTTAGAGCTGTTTTTGTCTGGGAGTAGCAAAATTGAGTTTCAAAGAAGCACCATTTAATTGCTTAAAGCTATGTATTAAATCTTTCTCCAATTAGGGCTATCTTCATAGCATTGGACCCTTAAGTAGCATGGAGGACGTGTTTTTGTTATAAAAATTTTTCTTTAGCCACTTCCCTCCCCTTCTTGCTCCTCAGTGTCTGCTCCCCTCAGTTTTGGCATCATCTTATTCTAGAGGTGCCAGGTTTTGGTTTTTTTCCTGTGTAATTTTAGGTTTGCTTGATGATGTAAATCTTCACATTGGAGATATATTAATAGTATCTTGCTCATCTTTATTCTAGCTTTCCTGTTTGTGAAGGATTCAACTACTTTCCTTCCATACCCCATACTTTTCACCAGACTTCTCTTGTTATTTGAGGGCACTTGGATATCTGAAGTTGATATTTATAGCTGATCAGTCTATAGGTGTCACAGAACTATGCTGCCGAAGGTGATCTTGGCTCCTTAATGGCCCTTCTGGCCCCTTGGTTAGTTAACAGCTATGTAATTCTAATCTTTTCTGTGTTTTCATTGCCTTAACCACAAATTGTGGGGCTTTTTGTATATTTTATGTATAAATCACAAAGTTGAATTCTGACTATTTTTAAGACAAAAGTCTGTTAAACTTTTTTATTGTAAAGAATATTTATTATGCGAATCTATTATTTTATGATATTTATTGCAAAAGACTGTTGAAATGTACTCGTATGAATATAACAAAATATCAATACGTAACGGAAAATAAGGTGACACGAAGAAAGTACATATGTTAACTATAATGCAGAAAATATATCAATTAATGAAACTGTCTCTTGATTTCTTCATTTATTAGTCTGTACTATTACGGTGATTTTTGTCATTTGCTTTGCCTCTTCATGCACACCCGTTTCTTTCCTTGCATATACCAAATCTAGACAGATGAGCTCAAATTTTGAATTAGATGTGTCCTGGAAAATGCATTAATCAAAATTCTGTAATCCAAATTCTGTTTGAACAAATACCCATGTGAATCCATTTTATAGTAAAAATTTTTGTAATCAGTATTAACTCTCCTTACTTTGGCTATTTTGTAAGTAAAAAGTTTTGTGTGTATCATAGTTTCTTGGGATAGAGCATATCAGGTTTTTAAAAATGTTTTAACTGTCCTGGGTTAATCTGAAATTAGTCTTCATCACAAAACTTAGTTCTGTAGACATGCTAGGAGTTTCTGGCATAGTCACTTTAATAAAACTGTTCTAGAGAATGTAGCAAGAAAAAAGCTCTCAACACCGAAGAGATGCTTTAAAAACATTCCTGTCCCTATACGTTTTCATTTCCTTTAGTAAGTTTTTCATGTGACCTGATCAAACTACATTTCATCATGTCTTGTACAGTAAGAAATCTGAGGGCCTGAAAGTTTGTATAGAAGTTAATATTTTTATTTTCTAGTCTGCTGAAACCACTACATAGGTAGAATCTTTGGGTCTGATAAAATTTTGTTGATATGAATCTTCAGATTCAGCTTCACTAATTCTCCTTATGCCTAAGTGGTATGTCCAACCTAAATAATAATCTTCAATTGAGAATAAGGTGTTGACAATTTGAACTCAGGATTTAGGCTATCAGAAGTCTTGTTGAGCTTTTCAACTTTGGTTATCTCTTAGATAATTTGGCTACTAATTTGGGGGATATTTATTCTTTGTAAATAGGCTTTGAATTTGTTTTAAACAGACAAGGTGTAAGTGATAAAAACTTTTTATTGCTTTCTCATCAAGCCACTAAACCTGTTAATTAGCACTGTGACATTTTATATAATCAAACATTTTCTCTATGCCCTGAAAGCAGATATGTTTTTTAAAATGAATATTTATGTTTTGGAGGTCATTTAATGCATGGTATTTCAAAGTGTGAACTCATTTCCTCTTGTACTCAAGCTATGTGTATTATCACTGGTCTCTTAAAATTCAGTATTTCATTGAGATTTGGCTCCTTAATGAAGTGTATGAACACAGACTCCCTCAGAATATTGTGTAATTTTTTTCTGTTATTATTCAGACTCTTGGTATCATTAGGAGTTGGTATAAGAGCTGTCTGTTGCTATAATACCCAGACTCAGAAATTCTAATTTTTATTGAAAGAAATTCATGACTTTTGTGAGAATGAGGTATGCTGTGGACTTTTAATTTTTAACTTCAGGCTACATGCAGAATACATGACGATTAAAATCTTAAGATGGTGCTCTCTGCTGCTGCTAGGGCCCTAGCCGTTCTCTGGTATCAAGTCAGGCCGGTATTTGGAAGTAGCAATAAATAGGTCAGAGGTCCAGACTTCTAACAGGCTTGTCAGGTGACAGAGCATCACCCCTTTAATTCAAAACTTCCTCCTTTATGATGATTTAAACCTAGAAGGAAAAAATATGAGGGTGTGTCCTCATAAGTGCTTGTGAGTCCTAAAACTGATCATTTTAAAGTGCTCAAGTTGTGAAACCATCAACCATGCTAAAATTTCTTAGAGCTCCACTGCCGTGTACTTGATACTGCTAAATGGAGAAGAGCGTACCAAGTAGGTGGGCTTTCTTCTTTTTAATTCCACAATTTTGTCCCTCTTCCTCAACTGCTGCAGCTTGGTCAAATGAATGTTTTTGTTACAGAGTTCTTTGCCAGCATATTTCCTGACTGCCAGTTTTTTCGTTTTCAAAGAAGTTTTATTGAGATAATTTAATTGTGAATAAAATCAATATAGGATTTTGGTAATTGAGTAGTTTCTTATTACAGAGCTTATAAAATGTAACCCAGCAGAAAAATGAAATGTGAACAAGTAGATAATGCTGCTTTTGGCAAAGGCCTAAGGTGAATCCTTAAATTGTAGTCTGCATATATGGTTTAAATCTAAACCACTGAACACTGAACAATGTCTTTAAATAAGTGGAAGGACATGAGTTAAAAGCTAATCATGTTTTCACTGTAAAATTGATATTGGAACCAAATCAGAGGATTTGTTTCTGGAAGATTGATTTAATTTTTAAAAGTGTCTCCTAAATCTTTCCTTGCTTTACAGAGTGATATATTTCATGGCAGTTTTTATGTATAGTTCGTTAGAAAAAAGTACTATCCCTTTTTGAAACATTGAAAACTGAAACAAAAAAAAGAGAGTGTCTAGACAGTTCTCATCTTAAACTCTACCCCACCTTTCACCATATGTGTGTGTGTGTGTGTGTGTGTGTGTGTGTGTGTGTGAATTGCAAGGGAGAATTTGATGTTTTTAAATATCTCAAAAACAACACTTTAAATCCTCATTGTGGCCAATCAGTTGGAGGACTGCTTTTTCCAATATTTCACTGATTAGATATAATCAAAGTAGACATGTAGTTAATTGACAAGTTATTGATTCTTCTAATATTCTCTTAGACTAATACCAGTCCATTTTGCTACGTTCACTGAACACTTATGTTCACTATTCTATATGCAGAATTAAAGAGCTAAAAATAGAGCTCAAAGTATATCTTGCTTCTCTGAGATCTATTCACAACTACTCTATCAGAAGACTTTTCAGGGTAGGACTTGGTATTCTGTATTTTTAAAAGCTGTTTGGGTGATTTTATCAGTTTTGAACTGCTTTTTTAAGCTCTGTGTTTTCATTTTGAGGATATAGAAACCAAGGCAGGGTTAAGAATAACTATTCATGATAGCTAGTATAGAGTCAGAACTCTCACTGGATACTGGATTTTCTTAATTTTTTTATCAGCAATTCTAGTACCTTTCTGCCTTTACCATTCTGTTCTCTTTAACAGAAAGTGTTTATTTTTAATTAGTATATTTGACCATAATATAGTAAATGAAATGTTTTCCTGCATAGATTAGTTGCACACTTAACTATCAGGAATAAATAGAAAATGAAAATGACTTCATTGCCTTAATTATTTTTCATATGTTAAAGTTAACTTCATTTGGAAACAGCATGTTTACTTCCTCCTGCCAGGTTTATATGGTAATAATAGAACAAATTGATTCAAGTTTATAAATCATTATGATTACAGTGATTAAAAATCAGATTAAAATGTTCCATTTTGCATTTTAACCAAATAAGATAGGGTAATAATTCTAATTGCAAAAGCAGCAGAGAACCTAGAATTTTTTTGAACTGGGTAATTAGGGTAAATATACTGGAAACTTCCATCATTCCCCAGTAGTCCAAGAGCTTGTTTTGATTTAAAAAATAACAGAATCCTAATTTTAGTGCTAGAAAGAAACTCAGAGGTCATCTAATTCATTTTCATTAATTTAGAGTTGAGAAAGCCAGGTTCAGAGAGGTTACCTAAAGTCATGACCTAGTTGTGAAAACAAAATAAACTATAAAGAATGACTGGATGTATATGTACACGTACATGGTTGAGAGAAAGGAGAGGTTGGTTGGAGGGGTGGGTTTGAAAAAACTTTCAGGCTAATTTATAAGTTAAAAAATTAAACAAGTTTGTTAAAACACAACAGACTAATCGTAATCCAAAGCAGAGAAATAAGCTCCATTAAAAGGGAGTTAGAAAAAAGGAGCTAAATAAATTTGATTTAATAAAACATAAGGTTTGCACTTGAGAAAATTGAATTCTAGTTTAACTAGCAGTGGTTCTCAACTTCAGCAGTACATTTAAGTCACCTGAGAGTAAAAACCAGTAACAACAAACAAAACCTGGGTCTAGACACTGCCCCGGGCTAGTTCAATCAGAATTTCTCTGGGTGGGGCTTGGCTTTTGTTTGTCTTAAAAGCACCCTGGATGATACTAAGGCCCAGTCACTGTTAAGAGCCTCTGCACTGGACTGCAGATATGTGTAGGAATTGTGGGAGATTAAAATGGTAGATACTAATGTAAGGAAGTCAGTTTAGAAAAAGAAAGCCACAGGTATTAAGGGTTAGAAGTAGCATCAGCGTTAGGAGGAACGGAAAGAAGGGGTCAATGTGAGTATTACAAATAGTAAATCTGTAAGTCTTTGCAGTTATTCGTATGTGGTTTTGAGATGGAGGAACGAATTGAAAATGATATTGAGGTTTTAGATGTAGGTGAATAGGTAAATGGTAGTTCTGTTAAAAGAGATGAGTGGAAAAAAAGATGGGTGGGATTAGTTTAGGAGGAATTATGGGGTGGGAAAAGTTACGAGTTCTATTAAAGCGCAGGTGAGTTGCTGGCAGGCAGGTCACTGGGAAAAACGTCTAACGTAACGTGGGGGGAGATAGGGAATCTGAAGCACATGTTTAAGGGAAAGAGTGGCATTACCACATGTACATAGGCAACAAGTAGTGTTTATATAAAGTTTATTTTGGTGACTAGATCATGCCAAGTTACAAAACTTTGAGGAACATACTTATGGTTAGGAGGCATATAGAGCAAACAGGTTAGAGGGTGGTCAAAGAAAGGTAGGCACCATGAGATGGGTATGTTTTAGAATCTAAAGGAGACTTTCAAGATGGAAATTAGTAATTAAATCTCAAAATCTATGGAGACTCCTAAATAAATTTGGTGGGTGGTATTTAGGTGAAACTTGTAATAACCTGGTGGCATGGGATTTGGAAACAAGTGAGTATTGAGTACATGCAGATAACTGCCGTACACTATTCCTTCTGCAAATTTTGATATGATGGGAAAATAGCCAGAGGCTGGTAACAGCTGAGGAGTATTTTTAGAGTAATAGAAACCTGAACTTTTTTGCAGGATGGAGAGCAAGGACAGTTGAGAGATGGGGCAGAGGAAATAGTTGAAGAACAATTCTAAAGAGGAGGAGACATAGGAGAGAGATTACAAAAGTGTGATTAAACCTTGGCAAGAATAAGGTTCTTCTGTAGTAAAGAATAAAAGAAGAGAAGAAAAAGATAAAACAGAATTTTAAGAGGGAAGTTGTAGAAATGCACCCTGATTGGGTAAGCAGATGATGGTCTCTGTTAATAGTTGAACTGCATCAGCGACTGAAACTGGTTCTTGAGAGCTAAGGTTTCAAATGGTTAGATGGAGGGGGTGCTAATGCATAGTCAACAAAACTGATGAAGTTAAGAGCAGTGCAGAGAGCGCTCAACTACACTGAACACAGACTTTTTGGGTTGGGGGGCTACAAATGGTTTTCAGATTTTATCTAGACATTCCTTGTAGCTGGTTAGAGAGGCAGTTAAAGCAGAGGAAAAGGGGCCAATAAGATATGGTGAATTTGAAACACCTCAGGAATTTTAGGGCAGTTGTCAAGAGTATTTGCTCAAATGATTGGCCAGAAGAATTGGATGAAGGTTTCTATGAGGGTGAAAAACAGGTTTACAGAGACTATGGAAATAGGAAAGGTAGACAGCTGAGGACAGAGGAGAATTTTCAAGTCAAGATATTACAGATGGGCCATTTTCAAATGCTGAGGAAATCTGGGGTTTCTCTGTGTTGATGGGTGGCTGAGACAAGATTTTTGAAGCTAAAGATGAGGAGGAGGAGAAAACAGAGGCCAGCTATGAGAAGGATTGTTAATTTAGGTGTTCAAATGCCAGGGGTAGAGTTAAAGAAGAAAATTTAGAACCTGGTGTTTATGTTTGGAAAGGATGTTTTTAGACAATTGAACTTATAATTATGAAATATCTGATAAAAATGTAAGGTCTCTTAATAAGAAATGAACTAGTAGAGCAAAATTTCAAATGGGATGTGCTCCATTTATAGCACAAAGGGTCTGTTAACAAAATCTGCTATTAAATGAAGAAAATATCTTCATGGAAATTGATTGACCAAGTCAATTCAGTCAAAATAATACACAGAGGCAAAAGACCTTTTGCTTGCCACATTCCCTTCTTTAAGCTTTAGTGCACTTCAGAAAGCAAAGGGATTGGTCCAAGATCTTAGTCCTGTCTACTTCACAGTTGGCATGTTGCAGACTGGCAATAGAAGCTGTGAGTGAATTTGATTTCTTAACAGAAGTACATGTTATTCTCTGGGCCACCCAGAATCTTCCTGCTCTGCAAATGTAGAGAGGCCTAACTCTATAAAGAAAACTTATGGTGTCAGAGTTATTTACAGGGTATTTGGAGTTCTAACTGGTTACTTTGTGGTTTATAAACCTGCTCTTGAAATTACCTATAATTTTCTCTTTGTATCTGCCTTTGGCCATTTTTGGCTTTTGCCCTTTAGTACCAGAAACACAACACCATTAGGGAGGATAAAATAAAGATGAAACTAAAATTTATTGGCTTAACTTCTTACTATCTAATACCTGCAACAATGCTTATTATAATAGAATGGAAGCTCAATAAATATTTGGCATTGATTGCCTTGCTAGATTTTTAAAAGCCTCAGAATAGGAATAGATACTGAGATTAATGACCAAATTGAAGTTTTTTGTTTTTGCAGGGTTTTTGATAACTGTTTCTAAGGTCACAATATTGGCAATTTTGACAGAAACTAAGAATTTCTTGGCTCTGTCAACCATTTAATAGTTTATTCAACAACAGATCTGAGGTGCTAAGGAGACCAGTTTTAGACTTGTAATTCAGGACAGATTATAAATAAAGTGGCGTGACCACATTAGAGAGATTCTTCAGGCAGCCCTTAGAGGATAGACTGGAGTGGTAGAGGGACACCAGCTAGATAGTTAAGATAATGGCCAAGGTGAATAATATGACAGGGAGACTGAAGACGGAAAGGAAGGTATGGGTGTGAATGACTGGTTGAGGAAGATGAGGAAGGAGGAATCTAGGTGACTTAGCCCTGGATCGACTCACCTCTGGTAATATAAGGCAGAGAGAACATTTCTATACATGAAATGTACAAGGAGACCAAAATTTTCTCCACTGAACATTCAACTAATTGTGCAGATGTAAGAATCTTTTTTTCTGCAGGAGCCCATATCTTCCCCAGAACAGTTAATGAGTAATGAAGTGAACTGAAGGCAGGAAGCAAGAGGGCACAGAAGAGAATCAAAGACTTTGAAAACCAAACAGAAACTAAGTTATTTCTTCTTTCACCTAGCTCCCCAGAGTTCATTGTATATCACTCAGAAAAATGAATTCTGTATCTGAGCTTTGTTGTCAAAAATACCAAATTGCAGAACTGGAAATTTCAGCAAGCCAACCATTTTCTCTTGATTGACTAGAAACGTTAAACCCCCCACCCCACCCGTGCCCCTAACTCCCTCTGTACAACCTCCCCTCAGTCCCCTGCATTACATTTAGAATCGCTGGAGTATCTTAAAAACAATGTTGGCAACTTCAGTATCCTGATTCTTCTTGCCTCAATTTTTCTGTTTGCTTGTCAGTCAGAAATGGTGGCAACAATGACAGAAAAAGGAAAGAGATAGTGGGGAATATGTCTATTTGGTGATTGGGAATTAGGATACGTGAGCAGTTTGAAGCCACTCAAAATCACACCTGGGAAGGGCCTTAAAGGCTGCTTAGTTCCTTTACTTCATTTTAAAGCAAAGTTCAACTTCAGAGAGATGAAATGACTTACTTCAGGATAAAGAGAACCAGCTGAATGAAAAAAAGATGAGAACTACTTTTAAAGGGTCTGTACTATTTCCCTAATGTAGACCTTGTCTGTATTTGAAGCTCTGTCAATCATTTAATAATTTATTCAACAACAGTATCTTAGGTTGTAATTGCAAATACGATTTCTAAATATTTGCAATTTCTGCAAATTGACAATTTACAATTTCTAAATAGAGTACATTGTCACAGGCTGATGCAGTAAAACCCAAGTTCTTGCAGAAGTTATATAAAATAAAGGACAAAATAATTTTGGGATTGGAACTGGTCATTTTTTTTCTTGTAGTTTGAAATGCTTAAAAATGCCAATATTGGAGTTAAACTTCTACATTTTAAAGGTGGTATGTGGCACATGTAGAGACTTGGAAATGCTTGTTTGAGATCATTATAAAGCAGAGTAACTTGAATCAGAAGGAAGCTTGTATAGCTTGATTTCAAAAGTTTAGTAAAAAAAAAAAAAAAGTCAAGTGTAAAAGTCCACATTTCTGTGTGTCCTATGTAGATAATGGGATTTTTTTTTTCTCCTTGGCACTGAAATAGGTACCACATGGTCCCTTAATTTCTTAAGTAAAATTTTAATTGGGAGAGAGTCTCTTAATCCTTAGGGAAAATATACTTCGTGTGGACTGTAAAATCTGGCAAATTTTGGAAAGAAGAAAAACAGGCAGTACTCTTGGAAAAAAGAGAGTGGTCTGCTTGAACTTGCCTTTCTTGAAAAAAAAAAAGCCAAAAAAAAAACCCCAACATTCTTTCATGAAGCATTTTTTTTCAAAAGTATTTGCCCTTGAGCATTTTTTCCTACTTACCCATGCTTATCTTTCAAAACAAACATTTATTCCTTTCTACTATGGAGTGTGAGGAAGTTCCTTTGAGGTTATGCCCTACAGACGTATCCAGGCAGTAACTGTCACCTCCTTCCTATGGCACAACAAATGACTAACTCAACCGCAGGGCGCTGAGCACAGGGCGGTGACTGCGTGATGGGGGCCGTTCACGTGTTACCTATGGGACAGTTTCTCAAGGGGAAAAAACACAGAACTGTATTTTCGTGTGCAAATAAAATTTTGGGTCCTTGACCCAGTGGAAAATGTGTGTCTGCTGGTGGCTGCTGAGTTGGAATATGATGATTTACACTTGGAAACATTTGTGTCATTTATCATATGATGTTACTGGCCTACAACATGACTGCATAACAACCATATTAAAAAATTAATCTTTTCCAGTTCATCAGACTGTATGTCTTTTTGAAGCCCCAACTTTTCTCTTTCCTTCTTGCCTATCTTTTCCTGTAGTCACCCTTTACATTAACTGTAGGATTAAGCTCCAATGCCTGCATTAGGTATCCATGGCTATTCATTTCAGACCCCAACTGTCCTTTCCCTCTTCTCTCCTGCTTTTCTACAACATAAGTCTTCTATCCAGCAGAATTGGTTCCCTCTCTGTCCCTGAAACACACCTTCCAATTCTGACCTTAGGGACTGCCTTTACCTTTTTAATTTTATTCTTTTATAGCTAGGTGTAAGTCCTGTTTCTCTGACTGAAGCATAAAAAATAATTTCTCCTAGAAATTGTTTAGTAACAGCATTGTGGAAACTGCTTATTACTTTTAATGTTGCAGTGGAGGCAAAAACTGCTACCCCTCTTAAGGTCTCTGGCTGGGCCTGAGAATTAAATTGGCATAAAATGGATGAACAGAAGAAAAGCATGTAGATTTTTACATGTACAGCAAATCCCCATAGAAAAGTGAAGACCTCAAAGAGTGGCTAGACCTAAATATTTATATACTCGGTCAAACAAAGAGAGTTAATTGTGGAAAAGCAATTAAAATATATGGACAGACCAAAGGAAGTAAAGAATTATTTTCAGAAGGTCTGTCTGTATGGATTTCTCTTGGCCTCCACTGGCTATATCTGGAATTAGGAATGTTTGTTCCTTTCCTCCTGGCACTTGGAGGGCATTTTTCACAGGGGAGTTTTATCTCCCTCGAAAAGAAAAGGGGAGGTCTTACACCTGCTGTTTTTTAGTGCCTTTAGCTCAAAATTCTTACGCTAAAGTGGCTTATTTTAGGGTGGCATTTTCTGCTACTTTTCAAAGTTTGTGTCTTGTCCCTCCTTTTATATTTAATTCTTTGAGACTGAGATTGTGTTGCAGATTTACCTGCACCCCAAAGGTGTTTTGCCCTTAATAGGCTCTCAACAAGATCCAAATGTGGGCTTTTAAAAGCCCACATTTGGATCTTGTTTTTCTGACTGGAGGGACATTTACTATATTAATAGAGTATTTATTCTGATATGATCTGTAACTTGCTTTAAGCCATTTTCGTCTTACATATACTTATAATTAGAGGTATAAAAAAATGACATAGAATTGAACCAACAACGTGGGGGTTAAAGGCACCAGCCTCCATGCAGTTGAAAATCCATGTAGAATTTTTGACTCCCTAAAAACTTAACTACTAATAGCCTACTGTTGGCTGGAAGCCTTACCAGTAACAAAAAGTTAATTAACACACATTTTGTATGTTATATGTATTATGTACTGTGGTTCTTAAAATAATGTAAGCTAGAGACAAAAAATGTTTTTTCAAATTATTGCAGATCTCTCCCACATTTTTCAATGTATTATTGAAAAAAATCTACTTATAAGTGGACCTACAGAGTTTAAACCCGTGTTGCTCAAGAGTCAACTGTAAGCAATTACTGCAGAGAATTTTAGTAATATCAATTATCATGGTGAGGTTTCCAGAAGAGAATAGTTTTAAGAATTGGAACGGTAATATTTTGGCCCTGGAGAAGACTTAGAGGTCACTAAATCATCTGAACTTTCAGCCACTGAACTCATGTATCCTCTCTGTAACATCCTAGATAGGTCTGAGATGGAAGTGTCTGGAATTACTGTTTCATTTTACTAAGCTATGCTTCGTCATTCATAATGTAAATCATTTGATCTTTTCCATTGAGAGTCAAAAGTATCCTTAAGGGTGACTAATACTGAGTTGGCTTGGGAGTCCTGGAGAATGCTAGAGCCCTTCTCAGCTTCTTAGATGCCCTTTCTCTTGGATGCTAAACTATTGTTTACTGTGCTTACTGAAGTTGGCGTAGGCACAAAACTCTTCAAAATGATCCATTTTTCAAATATACAATGGCTATACGAGTTTTTCAATGCACTTTGGATAGAGCTATGGTAACATGTCATCACTCAAAGCATTAACATTAGTCCAGTAATATCTCAAATTGTATATTACACAAAACATTTCTGTAAGTACCTAGGTTTATAAAATGTTTGTATTTCAGTGAACTTGTCAGTTAAGAAGGGGTGAAATTATTAACCTAGTTTTACAGATAAGGACTTTAACGCTGGGAGGAAATTTGATTTTCCCATTTATTGGTAAAGTTAGAACTAGAATCTAAATTCCTGATTCTGTTAGCTCATTCTGCTGTCTTTTCCATGCTCACTGTGTAAAAACAAGTGGGCATGCCATGGCAGCTAGTGAGGCATCGGTGTTCTTCTGCTCATGCCTTTTGCTCTGATGAAGCATTCAGTTGAAAAAACAGTCCTTATTTTCATACTTAGATTTTACAGGAAGTTTCATTTGAAATTGTTTTGAATGAAAGATAATCTAGCCAATTTCTTAATTGCATTCCATTCCTATGGTTTAGAAACAATGTTGTTGCATTTATAAGGAATGTATATAGCCCAAATATACAAAAGTGAATTCAAATTGTGTTGGATTTTGATTATTTTAGTATACTAGTTTATCATAACTTAGCTATCTGTAGAGAACAGTTGGCCTTTTATTATAGTGTCCCCTCCAGCTCCATCCCTGCTAAAATTAAGTGGAAAGGATTCTAATTATATAGTCTCGTTTTTGGGAAAATTGGGAAGGCAAGGTAGAAATCTAAATGATGCATGTTACTCTTAGAGCTAGGAAACTAGAGCCAGGTCTCATGGCACTCTAATTAAAACTTTTATTTCTGCAGATTTATTCTGTGGTCCTTACTGAACAGATCTGCCTTGGGTTTCTGCTGGTGAGTTTTTCAGCAGGAATGTGGGCTTTGTTTCTTTGAATAGTTGAGTGCAGATTAGTGGTATGCCAATTTCCTGTGGCCTTTCAGAGCTGCAATTTGAGCCCTGTTTGCTCCTGGCCCTTGCACAATTGAAAACAATGGGTGACTTCTTTAAGGTTTCACTTCAGGGCTCTTGGAAACAGGGGAAGTGGCTAAAGCCCTACTTTACAGGTAATTAACAATAGATAATGTTTGCTCTGCATTTTTCAGAGCCGATAAAAGGTAGAAGAACATATTCAGCTCCTGATTTAGACACTGTGCAGTGGTTTTATGGATACAATAGCTGTCTTAGCATTAGCAAGGTGGCATTGAATATCTGGGTCACATATATGAGTTCAAAACCTTTAAAGCACAGGAAGAGAAAACAATATTAAAACAGTGATGGCTAACAAAAAAAGGACTACTTTTAGGGATGCTAGATAAACTGTGTCACTTTAAGCCATGCATTTGTGCTCAGGGTGCATTTATTATATCTATATATGCTTTATGAAGTGAGTTTTCATAACTTGATACTTATTTAATATATTTTTTATGTTCTTAAATTCAACTCTAGAATCTACCTGTTCATTACAATAATTCCAGCTTAAGTTATTATTTGCCATATCTAGTTATTAGCTATAAATATTCTTATGAAATGGTCTTACATAGTTAACATGTGGGAAATAGTGTATCTTGTCCTTTTATTGTTTATTTGGTAGTGATAGGGTTTTTGTTTTAATACTGTGAATAAATAATATTTTTTTAGACTTCCTTTCTCTCTGAAACATACTATATCCACTTTGGGATAAGGTAGGTTTGTAGCAGAACTGACAGACTAATTGATTTATTCAGTCTTCAACAATTATAAAATACTCTGTCCCACATAGTGATCAAAGCACTAAGGACAGAAAAATGAAGAGGGGCCCTGTCCTTAAGGAGATTATGGCAATCTTTCACAGCACAGTTGTCAGAAAAGGTGGAAGCTTCTCTGGAAAAAAGGTAATCTCTGTTTTAATACTTGAACTTTACATCTACAACTCTGATGTGTAGGCAGCACTCTTGATAAAAATCTAAAGGCTGGGTCAGGTCTGAGATCCCCAAATAACTTATTTTTAGAGTGAACATATTCTAAACCAAAAGTTAGTGGCTTTTTGTTCCAAGCCACCTCCAACTAGGAACATGAAAATGTCACCTTACTCATCAGCTCTTAAAAGATGATGAACATAGCGAAGTTGCTTTAGTAGAGAATTTATGTAACATTTAAAACCAGAGCAGCCCTAAGTGAGGTTAGACACCCTCGAGAGCAGTGTTTTAAGTACAGTGGTGTACAGGAGTGAAGCGGCCCTACATTAACTAATTAGTTCAGACTTGCTGAATCCCGGAACATGTTCAGCACTGTGCCAGTGGTGTGGTTTTAGGGAAAAAGTTTAAGCTCTTGATCTCCACTCAGAGCTGGATCAGGAGGTTGACCTGATAACTGAAAATATGAAAGCACTTAAATCCTCTTTTCTGCTGATAAAAGTAACGTGTTTATTGTAATATTGTTCTTGAAAATTTAGAAAAAGCATGAGGAAAAGAATAAAAATCACACATAGTCCTATTACCCATTTCTTAGTTACCAATTATTTGGTTATTTTTTTTTTTATCTATAACCCAGTTTCTTTACCTTCTAAAGTAAAAATTTAGAAGTAGAAACATTACTTTTATTGTGCCTTTATTATTTTCTTTAACTCATTGAGACTCTTGGAATAGAGGCGCTGTTTCCAAAATATGGCATAGACCACAGTGAACTTTCAGAAAACAGCCACTCTGAAAACGATGAAGATTTTAATTTAATTTCATTTATTTCTCTTCTATCTTCTTAATAAAGTAGAGCTCTCTTCATGTTGAGAAGGAGAAAACTCAGCTTGTCCTTTCCAGCCTCCCCGTACTTAGTCAGCTAAGCATATTTATCGCAGGGAAACTAAGACACTTGCAGAGAAAAAGAGAACTAGGAAAACTAGGATCATCAGTGGCAACAATATATGATTTTTATTTAAAAGAAACCATAATTATTTGATATCACCAACAATGATAGCAAAACAGTTCTATAAAGAAAAGACTTTAAAAATACGTCAACCTCAGCTTTGCTGTGACGGCTGGGCAACTGTTCCTTCTCTTCCCCACTCTCCTCTTTTTATGTTAACCACGTTATTAGTACGACTAATAATAATTTCCCTTAGGAAACTTTGTCTCTGAAGACTAATGCCCATCGTTTTCCCCACGTTGACTTGCATGGAATTACGAAACCAACTTTATTATCAGTCATTAAAATCAGTGTATATTTCATTCTGCTTGTACAGGAAGTGACTACTTTAAGTATCCATTTGAAAGATGACTTAATGTTTAGATAGTGAACTCCTATGTTTATCATGTCAAAACCGCAGAGAAATATTTTGTTTTCCTTAAGTGCTCTAAATGGCTGCTCAGTTGCACACAGTTGTGATTAGTTATGTGTATGTATATCCACAAAGTTATCGATATTAAAATAACACTATTATAATGGTACAATTAGAATGTTTGAATTCTATTCTTCTTTTGTTCCACGGATTAAAGACACTTTTTGAATCGTAAGTGAAGTAACTTCTTCAGAGTACAGCATTCCCCCACGAAAACTCTGGCATTTTTCTTCTTTTCCGATGAAAGATCTCATTTGCTGAAACAACTGATGCACTTGGGAAGAAGTGATAGCCCTACTTTGATTTCATTTAATTGACCTTTTACAATGACTCCTAGACAGGTAGGTGTTCTGCCAACTATTAAGGTATTTGAAAGCAGCAATGAGCTCACTTAATTTCTCTATTTGTTTTAAACAGAGTGCTTTTGATGGTTTACTAGACACGACATCACAGTTTCCTGTTTCATATTTGAGTTAGGCAGGGTTGGAGAAACCCATTTGCCCTAAGGTTTGAAACTCTAGGTACAAAAAGCCCCTGACTAGAAGCTTCAGAAGCACAGTAGTTTTTTTAAGTTGTGAAAGAGAATTAAAACCATACTACTGATGTACTGAACAAATATACAACCTCCCCCCTGCTGTCCCCACAAAAGAAAGGTAAAAGCTAATAACAGGAGATTAAATGATGGAAATGATTATTGAAGCTTTTCACTTTTACGGGCTCACAGGTTTGTTTTCTGTTGTTGTTTTTCCTTCTCCTTGATCACAGCTAGCCTAGCACTCTGTATCTTGGCAAAACTGTTTTGCGTTCATAACTGAGAAAGGGAAATTTAACATAAAATCAAGATTTCAGACTAAGTAAATAGTCGCAGTTAGAAGTTATGCTGATGGCGGCTACAGGACTGAGTTGTTTAATGGTGTGTTAAATAAAGAAAACATACTGAATCTTACCTGTAATCCTTGGGGAATAAAAAACACATTGAGTATTAAGTATTTCTCTTGTGCATGCCTACTTATTTTATTAAATTAAAAAAACAACAAAACAACAAACTGCTCTGAAGAAAATGAGACTCTTCTGAAACCTGTGTAAACCACTGATTAAGATTCCTGGAGAGTAAGTTCTAATATGTGACAAATTACAATGATAAAGTATGATAATTTTTAAAGATGGAATATAATAACTTTAAATAATCAAACAATTCAGCAAAAATCACTCTACACAGTGTATATACTAATTCTAATAAACAATCAGAATGCACTGAACTCTCTTAGAAAAGCAAACTAACATACTGAGTCTTTGGAGAAACAAGCGATTATTTCCTGGTAGGGGTGAGGGAGTGGCGCCCCGTTCTGAGCATATGAGGGTCACCAAGGCAGACATATTGTTTCTAGTTTGGTATCTTCTTTCCTCCTCTTAATTACAGGAGTCCAATTTTCTTTTAAGCCCTGGTAATTTCAGTAGTCCTACCCTTCTAGTTCTGTATTCCAGATCTGCCACTCTTGAGAGATGAATATTCTGTTTCCATTCTGAGAATTATTCTATGAAACTAAAATCAAACAAATCAAAACATAACCCCAAAAAAACCCCAGCCATTTCCCCTTTCTTTATATAGAAACTCAGGTCACAAAGTAGTGGAGCCATCAGCTGGGGTCCCCATCACTGCAGTTATTGCCACATACGGCATTTGGACTCTTTGCTAATTTTGTGGTTGGTCCTTCCTCAACAAAGGCTACAATAAATTGCTCCTGTGATCTCCATTTCCTGAATTTTTAGTTTGGAAGCTGTCCATTTTTTCTTATACAGGTTAAAACTTATTCCTGGATCATTTATTTGTAGTTGGTTTTTCTTATTATATAGAAAATTCCTCCAAAGGATAGGTCCCTCTATTTATATCCTTTTGTTATATTCATAGCTCAAATTTATTGAGTGCTTACTGTATTTGTGGGTAGCTGGGTACTCTTCTAAGAACTTTACATGAATTAATTTATTTGACCTTCTCAACAATTGTATGGGGTAGGCAGGCATCATTTTCAGATGAAGAAACCCAGGGACAGAGAGGTGAAGCAACTAGCCCAGATTTCCACAGCTAAAATTGGGGGAATCAGGACTTGAACTGGTTATCTGACTCCAAAGCTGGTGTATAATATGTGAATTTAAGATTTACCTTTGATTGTTTTAAGCACAGATTTCTAAAAGAGTGACTATTCCTTAGAAATAGAAACCCAGTGCTATGGGCTGAATATTTATATTCCCCCAAATCCATATATCACATCTTAACACCCAATAGAATGATATTTGAAGGTAGGGCTTTTGGGAGAAGATAGTGTCAGGAGGGTGAAACTCTCATAAATGGGATTAATGCCCAGAGAACTCCTTTGCTCCTTCCACCATCTGACAATGCAGGAAGAAGACGGCCATCTGTGAGCTAGGAAGTGGGCTCTTACCAAACATCCAATCTGCTGGTGCCTTTATTTTGGACATCCCAGTCTCCAGAACTGTAAGAAACAAATTTCTGTTGCTTATAAGCCATCTAGTCTGTGGTATTTTGTTATACTAGTCCAGAAAGACTAAGATACCAAGAAACCAAGATCAAATCTTAAGGAAGAAGAAAATAACTATCTTTTATTTAAGAATGAATTTTCTTTTCTTTCTTTTTATCAACCTTTAATCAATATAGATGTGTTTTGTACTTTGACTTGCATATCCTTGGTTTGGGGATGAAGATAGGTGGGTATATGGGAATATCTAAGTTTTAAAGTTTCTTTCTTTACAAATGCATAATATACTAACTTCAACACAAAACTATACTATATTTAATAAGATTGTAAAATTAAGTTGGGAGTTAGAGCCTACTCTGATGGATGATAGGGAATTAGGGTGGTCAATACCTGATCTTTTTAGCCAAGGAGTGACCATGAGAGGGCTTATTCTGATTCATGATTTAAGTTTGTACTGTACTATATTGTTTGTATGGTTGTTACATGGGTCACTTGCCTTTACCTTATTAAATTGCCAACCCCAACTTTAGGCAAGTATCTAAGATCATGCTAATGGTTGGCCAGTCTATGAATAACACTGAATTTCCTTCATTCATATGGTGAACACTGTATCAGGAACAGTGGAGAGTCAACTGTTAGATGATAAACTTCATGAAAATAGGAATCTTCCAAGAAAAAGAAAAACCAGAGATTAAAGCTAGCAGCATGAGAGGTGAAAAAGAGAACTCCTCCCAAAACCACATATAATACGAAAATCTAGTTAATACAACTAAACCTAAAAGTGCAACAGGAAAGAAGGCTGCACCAGACTGCATACACATGGAGAACAGAACAGACCTCATGAAAGAGGATAATGTACCAAAGGCTTGATCCGGCAGGACCCAAATCCTTCCCCCACCTCAGCTCACTGGCAGGAGGAAGAGAAATGGAGCAGGGAGGGAGTGGAAGCCTAGGACTGCTGAATACCCAGCCGTGGAGATCTTCTTTGGGGGCACAAACCTACATTGCATGGTGCTCTGGAAATTAGTGGGGTTTGGAAAGCTAAGACAGACAGGATACTTGGAGAGACTGATTCCAGCCATTTGTGGATGACAGGGATCCATATCCAGCTGCTCTGGGCCAAAGGAAAGGTGGGTGCTCTGAGAGGTTTCCTAAGAGTGAGAGGGCTCCTGAAGGGGTGGGGATTGTATGGAACTTGCTGCTCAGGAGAAGGGATAGGTGGACAAGTTTGTCTGGGTGCACTCTGCCAAGCAGGTTGGGAACTTTCAGGAGCTTCAGATGCTTCATACCCCTGGCTGCCTACTCAACTCTGAGGCCACCCACTGTGATACCCAGCCTGCTGCATCTTACTCCTGCCCTGCCGGCACCAGCTTGCAAACTGGCAGTCCCTGTCCCAGCATCTGGCTAGCCAGAGGGAGGCCCTGCCTATGGCAGCTACAAAAAAAAGCACAGAGGCTTACACCTGTGTGCTCAGTCTACTGGTTCTGACAGTGCAGAAAGGCACTGCAGCCGGGAAGCAGGAAACAACTCTTTTCTCCCCCCAGGCACTAGCGCTGCTCCCCTGCAACACCCGATATCACTACAGGGGCTGAGCAACTCCAAGACCAGAGTTTCTGGGCACTAGACGGTGCCACATACAAATATGAAACATCAAAGGAAACTGGTTCAGACCAAAATCTCACAAACACCAGAAAAAGGGACAACTGAAACTGAACTTACCAATCTTCCTGAGAGTTCAAAATAAAAATCATAAACATGGTCATAGAAGTACAGAAAAATATTCAAGAACTCAAGGATGAATTTAGGACAGAGATTGAATCATTGAGAAATTCCATATCTGAAATGAAACATACAATGGAGGGATTTAAAAGCAGATTAGATGTATAAGAAGAGATGGTAAATGGAATAGAAATTAGAGAAGAGGAATACAAAGAAGCTGAGGCACAGAGAGAAAAAAGGATATCTAGGAATGAAAAAATATTCATTCACACAGGAGAGAACTGTGTAACCAACCCAAACGGAACAATATTTGCATTATAGGGGTACCAGAAGAAGAAGAAGAGAGAAAAGGGGATAGAAAGTGTCATTAAGGAGGTAATTGCTGGAAATGTCTCCAATCTGGGGAAGGAGATAGTCTCTCAGGCCATGGAGGTGCACAAATCTCCCAACACAAGGGACACAAGGAAGACAACACTAAGACATATAATTATTAAAATGGCAAAGATCAAGGATAAGGAAAGACTTTTAAAAGCAGCTAGAGATAGAAAAAAGATCACACACAAAGGAAAGCCCATCAGGTTATCATCAGACTTCTCAGCAGAAACCTTGCAGGCCAGAGGGAGTGGCATAATATATTTAATGCAATGAAGGAGAAGGGTCTCAAACCAAGAATATTCTACCCAGCAAGATTATCATTTATGTTTGAAGGAGGGATTAAACAATTTTCAGATAAGAAAAAGCTGAGAGAATTTACTCCCACAAAAAACCTCTACAGTGCATTTTGGAGGGACTGGTATAGATGGAAGTATTCCTAAGGTTACATAGCTGTCACCAGGGGAAATAAAACCATAGCAAAGTAAAACAATTACTAAGCAGATGCAAAATCAAATCAACTATCCCCAAAGTCAACCAAGGGAAAGATAAAGAGTACAGAATATGATACCTAATATATGAAGAATGGAGGAGGAAGAAAACAAGAACCTTTAGGTTGTATATGCAATAGCATACTAAGTGAGTTAAATCAGACTGATAGATAGTCACAGAATTACCCTTGAACCTTTGGTAACCATAAATCTAAAGCCTGCAATGGCAATAAATATGTACCTATTGATCATCACCCTAAATGTAAATGGTCTGAATGCACAAATCAAAAGACATAGAGTCACTGAATGGATAAAAAAACAAAACCCATCTATATGCTGCCTACAAGAGATTCACTTCAGACCCAAAGACATACACAGACTGAAAGTAAAGGGATGGAAAAAGATATTTCATGCAACTAATAGGGAGAAAAAAACAGGAATTGCAGTACCTGTATCACACAAAATAGACTTCAAAACAAAGAAAGTAACAAGAGATAAAGAAGGACATTACATAATGATAAAGGAATCAGTCCAACAAGAGGATATAACCATTATAAATGTCTATGCACCCAATTCAGGAGCACCTACATATGTGAAACAAATACTAACAATTAAAGGGGAAACAGAATGCAATGCATTCATTTTAGGAGATTTCAACACACCAGTCACTCCAAAGGACAGACCAACTAGACAGAAAATAAGTAAGGAGACAGAGGCACTGAAAAACACATTAGAACAGAGGGACCTAGCAGACATCTACAGAACATTCCACCCAAAAGCAGATGGATACACATTCTTCTCAAGTGCATATGAAATGTTTTCAGGAATAGATCATGTACTAGGCCACCAAAAGAGCTTCAGTAATATCAGAATGATTGAAATTGTGCCAACCAGCTTCTCAGACCACAAAGGTATGAAACTAGAAATAAATTATACAAACAAAACAAAAAGCCCACAAACACATGGAGGCTTAATAACATGCTCCTAAATAACCAATGGATCAATGATCAAAGACAAACAGAGATCAAGCAATATATAGAGACAAATGACAACAATAATTCAACACCGCAAAATCTGTGGGATGCAGCAAAGGCCATGCTAAGAGGGAAGTACATTACAATACAGGCCTACCTCAGTAAAGAAGAACAATTCCATATGAACAGTCTAAATTCACAATTAACAAACCTAGAAAAAGAAGAACAAATGAGGCCCAAAGTAAGTAGAAGGAGAGACAAAATAATGATTAAAGCAGATGTAAATAAAATCGAGAAGAAGAAAACAATAGAAAGCATCAGTGAAGGCAGGAGCTGGTTCTTCGAGAAAATAAACAAAATAGATAAACCCCTAGCCAGACTTATCAAGAAAAAAAGAGAATCTACACACATAAACAGAATCAGAAATGAGAAAGGAAAAATCACTACAGACACCAGAGAAATACAAAGAGTTATGATAGAATACTGTGAAAAATTATATGCTAACCAACTGAGTAAACTAGAAGAAATGGACAACTTTCTAGAAAAATACAACCTTCCAAGGCAGACCCAGGAAGAAACACAAAATCTGAATAGACCAATTACCAGCAACGAAATTGAATTGGTAATCCAAAAGCTACGTAAGAAGAAAACCACTGGACCAGATGGTTTCACTGCTGAATTTTATCAAACATTCAGTGAAGACCTAATACCCATCCTTCTTAAAGTTTTCCAAAAAGTAGAGGAAAGGGAATACTTCCAAATGCATTCTATGAGACCAGCATCACTCTAATACCAAAACCAGGCAAAGACATCACAAAAAAGAAAATTACAGACCAATATCCCTCATAAACATATGCAAAAATACTCAACAAAATATTAGCAAACTGAATTCAAAAATACATAAAAAAATAACCTATAATGATCAAGTAGGATTTATTCCAGGGATGCAAGGATGGTACAACATTCAAAATTCATCATCATCCACCACATCAACAAAAAGTAGGACAAAAACCACATGATCATCTTCATAGATGCTGAAAAGGCATTCAACAAAATTTAACATCAATTCATGAAAAAAAACTCTTAACAAAATGGATATAGAGGGCAAGTACCTCAACATAATAAAGGCCATATATGGTAAACCCACAGCTAACATCATACTTAACAGTGAGAAGCTGAAAACTTTTCCTTTAAGATTGGGAAAAAGACAAGGATGTGCACTCTCCCTACTTTAATTCAACATAGTATTGGAGGTCCTAGCCATAGCAATCAGACAACACAAAGAAATAAAAGGCATCCAGGTTGGCAAGGAAGAAATTAAACTGTTCTTGTTTGCAGATGACAGATATTGTACATAAAAAACCCTAAAGAATCCACTCCAAAACTAATAGATCTAATATCTGAATTCAGCAAAGTTGCAGGATAGAAAATTTATATGCAGAA